CACAACATCATTAGCATCAGAATCGTTTTCTTTCACCAAAAATTTATGAAGAGCTCCTTTTTGAGATTGAGTTAACAAATCAATCCTCTGTTTTTTTTTACGCTTAGAACAACCTGATTCAAATTTTCTAGATGACATAATCCCAATAGGCAATCAAGACAAATCCCTGCAAAAAAAAAAAAAAATGTTAGAATGAGACACTCGGCTTTGCCCTCTGAAACCTGCCACATTGAAGCAAATTCAAATATCAAGAACAAAACTTGATACTAAAATCCAGCAGAAGAACAACCACTTGGGAAACTATTCACTCACTCTTTCCAGCCAATGTCGCTTGTATGATCGATGAAATTAAGATCCCTCGGCTCGGCAGATAAGAAAACACGTGCAGCAGATCTATCAACCAATCAAAAACATAATCAAAAGTCAAAACGGGTTCATCACTAGATCACAGACTCGGCATTCGGCAATTCTGTCCAGAAAAAAAGAAGGAAAAAACTCACCGTCCTGAGTCACGAGGGGGTAATCGGAGGCGCTGAGATTGATAAACCAATCCCAATCTGGTTGAGGCGAACTGCGGAACTGGGGCAGGGGATTCTCGCTAGGAACCAGGGGGCAGGGGCAGGGGATTCTCGGAACCAGGGGCAGGGGATTCTCGGAACCAGGGGAGGCAGCGCCGGAGTGGAACCACCGGAGGCGAACTGCCGAACTGGGAATCTGGGATTGTGGCGATTATTGGCGAACTGGGGTTGATGCTTTGGAGAACGTTGGTGGATGCTTCACCTTCTTGGCTGAGTATTTAAGGATGATTTGGAGAACGTTGGTGGATTGGAGAACGTTGGTGGATTTTTTGGAAGATGAGAATATTGGAGAAAACGATTAATGATTGATAATTTTGGGAAGGGAGGTTACGAGAATTGAGGAAGATTGGCGAATAATAAGGATGCTGGCTGCCGCTGGAATTAATTTGGGAAGATTCTTGGTGAAGATTGGCGAACTCTTCGGCTGCCCTGGCTGCCGATTGAATTGATATATTTTTTTTTATATATATGTGTATAGTATATGGGCTGAGGCCCCAAATATTGTGAGGCCCTGTGCTGTGGATCAGACCAGCACAGGGCCTGGGCCGGGCCTGCTTCTAGCTCGCCAATTATGTAGCATGCATGGAGGTGGCAATTAGAATCCAAATCCATGAATCCAATCCAATCCATACATCAAATTATCCACCCAATCCAATCCATTTAAATTCAATCCATTTGATCCAAATCCAATTGGATTGGTGGATTCATGGATCAATCCATGGATCCAAATGACAAATTACGATTTGGTACCTATATTTTTTATATTTTACATTTTGGTACCTAAATTTTATATTTTTATACGAAAAATATCATTGAAAAATTACATTTTGGTACCTAAAATTTTTTATTATGACATTTTAGTACCAAAACTTTTCAAATTTTACATTTTGGTCCAAGCCTTGGATGTCATTTGGATTCATGGATCAATCCACCAATCCATGAATCCACCAATCCATTGGATCCAATCCATTTGATCCATGGATCCACCAATCCAATCCACAAATCCGATCCAATTGCCACCTCTAAGCATGCATCAGCGTCCAGGGTCACTAGTTGCGGGAATTCTCCAGGCCAAGTATCACCAGAACACTTCGATATTGGAAGCTATGCTGGGTCACAAGCGTAGCAACATTTGGCTAGTCTTATGGGAGCACAGGAATTCTTGAATAATGGAATGCGTTGGCGCATTGGAAACGGGTCTAGTGTTAGAATATGGGGAGACAAATGGCTCCCCGACTCCGATCCAGTTTTCGTTAGCTCAGCTCCGACCGGTTTGCCGGTCAATTCGGTGGTAAGGGATCTCGTCTCGCCCTCTACCGACCAATGGGACGATGACATGCTCGCTGCATGCTTCCCACATGAGATTGGTGAACGCGTCAAACAAATACCATTACGTAATAATGGCTAACAAGGAACATGGAAGATGATGATGATGTTCCTGTTGATCAAGGAATCAACAAGTTAGTTGCTGGTTGCTAGCCTTGTTGAGAAGAGAGCCACCTGATAAACCACGAAGAACAGGGTCAGCAAAGGAAAGGAAAACGACGATGCATAGAAGCAACGGACTGTTTGGTTTGATTAGTTAGCTTTTTACTGTACAGTCTTACACATGTAAAGCATTGATTTGTCCATAGGTTACAGTAAAATTAACGGCTAGGTAGATCCCCTTTTTGCTGCTTTTGCTCTGTAACGTGTATATACTCTCTGCGTAATGGAAAGCTCAGTATGAGCAATTTCCCCAATCCTTCCTCTTCCTAAAATCTTCTTATGGTATCAGAGCGCTGCTCATCGCGCTAAGATCCGTCATCCTTGTTGATCTACTCTGTTTCGTTTTCCCCTTTCTATTTCTTACTCCATTATTGAGCTCCTGCTGTACCAACAATGGCAGAAGACAACTCCGCTCAGAAATCTGAATCTTTCGACAAAAACAAGGCCATCATGACCTCGTATGAAGACCCATACCTCAATCCGTACTATCTTCCTCCACAGGATGGTGCACTATCCACCATCATCTCCATCAAACTTGGCGATGGCAACTATCATACCTGGAGCGAGGTGATGATGTTGGCTCTGGACACCAAGAACAAAACCCAATTCATTGATGGTCGTATCCCAGTCCCTCAGGTAACAGATCCTCACTACCAATCCTGGGCTCGTTGTAATGGCATCATTCGCTGTTGGATTTACAACTTTCTGTCAGATGACATAGCAAATAGTGTCATGAGACTAGGGTTAGCAAAGGATGTTTTGGATAACTTAAAGAATCGATTCAGTCAAGAAGACAACATCAGGGTTTATGATCTCAATGGCCAACTATCAAAATGTGTTCAGGGTGATAAATATGTTAGCCAATACTTCACTGATATTACAGTTCTTTGGGAAGAACACAGGAGGTACAAACCCATACCTGTTTGTCCTTGCAATCTTGGACCATATGAAACTTTGAAGAGGTATGAAGAGAATGACTTCGTCATAAAGTTTCTTCAAGGACTGAATCCTGTCTATCAGTCAGCAAGGACACAGGTCTTGATGATGCCTGTTCTGCCTCACATTGACATAGCCTTTAAGCAGATCTTGCAATTGGAACGACAGTTAAAAGTGATGAATAGAAGTTCTGGTGTATAAACCCTTGCCCTTGCAGCAGCTGCTTCCAGTGGAAATCCATATAAAGGAAAAGGGAAACAACAACCAGATGGGAAGAAAATCTGTTCCTATTGCAAGAAAGAAGGGCATCTGATTAAGGATTGCTTCTAGCTAAAGAACAAGAAGGCAAGGGAAGCTGCAGAAGGTGCTTTTGCTGGTTCAGTTGAAAGTTCTTTCCCAATGGAGAACTCTTCTGGTTCAATTGACAGCAAGGGACAGACTGGATTGGAGAACATCTTCACTCAGGATCAGATGGAGAGGCTTAAACTGTTGCTATCAAAGTCACCATCACCATCTCCATCACCTCCCAGTTCACCTTCAGTTCACACTGCAAATGCAGTAACCAGAGCTGTGCCTGAACATAGGCCACCTGTTGCTTCACCCTACCTTCCTTTTAGTTCAGGTACCACTGTTCTTTCCACCTTGATTGCTTCTTCTGGAGAACCCTTATGGGTGTTAGATACTGGTGCTACAGACCACATTGTTTGTAGTCCCAAGTATTTCAATAAGTATAGAGCAGTAGAAGATGTCTTTGTTACTTTACCAACTGGAGTACAGGTAAAGGCCACACCCATAGGGATTGTCCAACTTCCTTGTGGCTTATTTCTTTCACAAGTCCTCTTTGTCCCAATGTTCAACTACAATCTAGTCTCTGTCAGCAAATTAACCAAACAAAACCCTGTCTCACTTACCTTCAATCCTCTTACTGTGTTATTCAGGACTTTATTACACAGAAGAGGAATTGTTTAGCCCAAGTGGATAGAGGACTCTACCTTTTCACCAAGACACCAAGTCCCAACTCACCTGCCAAGTGTCTTGCAGCCACCACTTACAACTTCGAGTCCCAGTCTTTTGATCTATGGCATTCCAGACTTGGCCACCCCCATGTTTCTAGACTTCAAGCTATTAGCAAACAATCTTCTGATTTAATAGCTACTAAATGTCGCAACCGCCCCTCGAGATCGGGGGGATCCGTCGCGATTTGCTCGGAGTCGCCATCGATCTTAGTTGTGGTGGATCGAACACCATTTGGTTAGGTCTCGACCTTAGGGTCAGAACCGGGATTTGGTCTGCGAAATTTAGGTTTATGGGTTCGGGAGTACGATTACGTGTGGGGAAGTGTATTCACACCCCACAACGTCCCAAATGGGTACTACTTAAATCGATAAGTTTTAAAAGGGTTGGGTGTGTTATTGTTTGTGCATTATTGTGTATTTAATTATATGATTTGATTTAATTTGATATTTATTAATATACGATTCCGATCATTACAACTATTGACGTAAATCTCGAAAGGTAAAGAAAGAGTTTTTGGTTTAGTTGGACTCGAACCTATCGGTTGCCTACGTACCCGACTAATCGGGATCAAAGTCCACTTAATTCGGTTAAGTTGATAAGTTTTGATAAAGGGATCTTAACACGTTTCTATTGATACGTGATTAAGATAAAAATTTGAGTTTATTACAAATAAATTTTGGTAAATGTGGATTTGATGAAGGACTTTTTCCATTATAAGACTATCACGATGTGCGTATTATGTCTGGAAGAGCATGATTGTAAACTAATCTAAATGAATTAGCCTAGGCTAGCGGCTGAACTGTCGGCTTATATTGACGAACGTGGTAAATGGCGTGGGTTCGACCCTCACTCACGGTAATTTTTTAAGTGTTTCTTGTTTTTTAGAAAAGCAAGGTGGCAGGAGGTAATTTTAGTGAAATTGAAGGGGCAGTTTGGTCTCTTAAGGGATTCAAGTTCATAACGCGAAAACTGAGGGATAGAGAGGCCAAACCCTAGCCGCACGATTCCCCTCTCTCTCTCGTCATTATTCCTCCCTTCTGCCTTCTCCATTTTCTCTGAAAGAAGACGCAAAGGGGAGTCGGCGATTGAACCAAATCCCGACTTCCTTCTTAGTTGCAGGCGAGAAATGTGCTTCGGATCCGGTCTCCTCCATCATCAATCTGACTTCTCCTTCCCTTTCCTTTATTGGTGAATGACGAGGAGAAGGGATGAGAGTCAAGACGGCGGCAATCGAGGGAAAACGGTGGCGGTCGCCAGCGATGACGGCAGCGAGGGTAAGGGATTGCCTCCACTAAGTTTGCATGTCGGAATCTTGGGGTTTTTAAGTAGTTTAGGGTTTTGATTAAGTTTTAATTGTGATTTCGGAGTTTTGTTTTGGAACCGAAAGAATGGAAGAACGACGGGAAACGAGGGAGAGGAGCCAGCCTCGACGACGACAACGGCGAGAGGTCTATCCGGCCGACGAGTTATGAGGTAAGCTTAGTGTTTTTTTTATTAAACGGTTTATTTTTCTGCTGCTTGTATTCCGATTCTTGATTGTTGCTTTTCTTTTGGGTAGCGAAGGAAAGAAGACTGCCGCCGGCGACAGTCTCGGGCTTCGCCGACGGGGAAGACGAAGATGACAGGGCTTGACCCTTTTGGTAAGATTTAAGTGGTTTCTTTTTATTTCTTTAATTTTTTTGGAAATTCTTATTGTAATGGCAATGAATCTGAAACGAGCCTGAAGCTTGGTTAGATTAGGATATCTTGAACAGAAGGGTCTGTTATGTGGGTTTCAGTCTAGAAATTTTGTGGTGTTTTTTGGTAAATCTATGGTTTGAGCAGTTTGGTCAAAATCTGGTTGTTTCATATATTGTGGGTGAACTCGAGTTTGGACTATTAACTGTTACTTTGGGCCATTTTTGGATTCGAGGTTCATGGTGTTTTATAAGTTTGGGATTTCTATCAGAGTAGTTTTAGGACATGTTGATAAATCTGTATCATTGTGTATTGTGGGTTGGTTCATGGGGGCTTTAGATTCTAGACGTAACTTGGTATTTATGATGCTTTCAATACTAAAAGTTGAGTAGTGATTGGGATTATGGCCTGTTGCTTTCTGTTACGTGATTTATTAGTGGTTTTAGCTTTGTTTTATATATGTGTGTAATGATGGAATTTCATACTAACATGATAAAAGTATAAATGAGATGATCGATGAAACATATATCTATATTGGTATTAGTAGATTATCAGTAGCTGTATAATATACATAGCTATCTTGAACGAAGATATTTGTGAGCTTTATAGTTTATATAGAAATAGAAAGAGGAGGCAAATCAATACAAGGATGGTGATAATGGTAAGTGCTTAAAATGTAAAAAAGGGACTTGAGTAGAAAGATGAATGTATACAAGTAGATGACAGTAGTGGTTAATTGCTTGAATGAGAAAGTAACTGATAAAGTATAACGATAATGATAAGTAGATGAGAGTAGTCAGATTGGAATTGCTTGGAATAGATTGGGTATATTCTTCTTTCAAATAAAATCAACCTGCTTGTAGTTTGAATGGGGTTGCTTGAGTTTCTATTTTGAAAAGAACTTATAATGAGATGGTTGAAGAAGATGAATGATTAAGATGATGATGGTTGGTTTTGGCTACCAACCTTTGTTTGTAGTTTGATTATGATTCTGACCTCCCTTTTTCCGTCTCCTTCTTGGGTTTTTTTTTTGCTTTGCTGAAGTTGGCGGCAGTGGTAGGATGCTTGTGGTGAGGGAATTTTTGTAACTTCTTTTGGCTTCTGTTTGTGCAGGTTTTGAGTAAGAGGTGGAAGAAGAAGAAATAAAATTAGAAAGGGGAAAGAAGGTGACAGTATGAAGAAGAGAGTGAGGGAATGTTTGTCTTTGTTTTTCTATTTTGTTTTCGGCTTCTCTTTTCTGTTTGGTATTTTGAGGAAGAGGAGGAAGGAAGTGACAGAGAAGAAAAGGTTCAGGGAATGTTGGGATGAGATAGCATGCCTACCCATAAAAGAGTTGGCAAAATGACAACCCCTATTAATTATAGGTTTTTAAGATAATTAATTTGTGTTGCATTTAATAATCTGCATGAATTAAAAACACATATTAATTACTTTCCTTTTTTCAGTGCACTGGTAGTTGTATCAGTGCACTAGTAGTTGTGTAAAGGTGCAATGGTAGATGTATCACTGCAATGGTAGTTTCAAAAAAGGAACGTAATTAATATGAGTTCAGTATACCAGTGCACTGATACAGATTATTAAATGCAACACAAATTAATTACCTTAAAACCTATAATTAATAGGGGTTGTCATTTTGCAAACCCATACAAGGATTAGCATGCTAACCGATCCCGGGAATGTTTTTTTGTTTTCCCCTCTTTTGATCAGAGCTAAAGAGCTCTTTTTATAGCCAAAAATCATATGTGTTGGCACAATGTAATTGGATTTGAGAGGATATAGGAGCCGCCCTCTATGTTTGTGTAGCTTATGGATTGAGTCGGACCGGTTTGGGTATGTGAAGTGGGCTAAACCGGTTTGGGTTGGGCTGACATGGGCATGATTGGTGAATTGAGGTTTTTGGGCTTTTGTGTGGACTGACCCGTTGACTGGCATTGACCAGAGTTGACTGGGCTTTAACTTGGGCCGAAATTCATTTATTGAATTGTAATTAGTGTTTTGTAATAGCAATTAACAGTGTAATCAATTACAAATATTATGTATTGTAACCAAAATTTTAGTTGTTTAGCAATGTATTTATTTTAATAAAATTGTTATGACTTAACATTTTATTATTTTGGAATTGCGATCCAATTCTCACAAAACCCAATGTGTTAAGAATCAATTAACTTGCATGACACCCAACATCGAACTTAGGCCTAATTCAACATCGAACTTAGGCCTAATTCATTTAAACCTGTCAATTTGACACTAACACTATGTTTGGGAAGGGGGTAAATGGAAGGGGGTGCAAGTTTGGGGGGTAAACACAAGTTCCAAGGTGTTTACCCCCGTTTGGTTATTTTGTAACAGTAGGGGGTGCAAAACGTGAGCGTAAATTCACTATTTCGGCTTACCCCCCAAATTGGGGTGCAAGGGAAGGAAGGAAGGGAGGGGGAAGGGGGAGGAGGGGAATTATGGATTTTTAATTAGATTATAATTACATAATAATTAATATTATTAATTTTTTCTTATATCTATATTAGTGTAGAAGTTGTTTGGGGTTGACCATTTGACTCAGAGAGCAAGTTTGTCAATGTTCGCCTAGTCAAATCGATATCTCTTAGTTGACCCGAATTTGCATTAAAAATTAGAGATAAGAAGCGTTTGTTGAAAAGATAGAGAGGGACAGTTTAGTTAACTCGATTTACTTTAATAAGTAGTTAAAACTTACAGATTCGAACGTGTTTGACTAAGTTTGACCATATTCAATTTAAAGTTAGGCACGAGAACCCCCTTAGGATGACCAGTTACGAGTTGGATTTCGAGTTTCGAGGTTGCTCGACCAATGATTATTATTATTATTATAAATAATTATATTTGAGCATTATTATATAATAATTATTTTTATTAAAATTATTTATTATTTATTATTTATTATTATTATATATTGAATTTTCATGTTATTATTTTGTGATAATATTTTATAAATTGATAAATCTATTTTATAATAATATAATTACTTACTTTTTACTCTATTTGCACCCCCCTACTTTTTCATCCAAACAACAATTTACCCCTCCACTTACACCCTCCACCAAGTTGCACCCCCCAACAATTTACCCCTCAACTTGCACCCCCCTCGAACTTGCACCCCCCTTGTTGCCAAACATAGTGTAATAGATTGTATCAATTGAGATTTGCTATTGCTAATCTTATTGACTTATGACAGACAAGACCCAACCCAAGCACTACAATTCGTTTTAGCTAGAAATTTGCTATTGCAAATCCCAACCAAAAATTTAAATTTAAATTTAAATTAGTTAAATATGCTTTAACCCGGACAAAAACTGGTGTCTACACTAAACACATTCATTATGATGTATGTCACCTAGCCAAACAGAAAAGGCTTCCATTTCCTTCTAGCAACTACGTTAATCCTGTTCTTTTTGGATTAGTCCATGCTAACATCTGGGGGCCATTGAATACAGTTTCATACAATGGTTTTAGTTATTTTTTAACTGTTGTTCATGACCATTCTAGATGTGTGTGGACCTTCCTGATGAAACACAAAGATGAGGCTAGGCCTTTCCTTCAATCTTTCTGCTTTATGGTCAAAACACAGTTTGGTAAAAGTGTTCAAATCATCAGAACTGACCAAGGTCAGGAATTCCATATGAATGATTTCTATCAGGCTAATGGAATCATTCATCAAATGAGTGTAGTTTACACTCCCCAACAGAATGGGAGGGTTGAAAGGAAGCATCAACACCTCCTCAATGTGGCAAGGGCCTTAAAATTCCAGTCAGGTTTACCTCTTTTATACTGGAGTGATTTTGTTTTACATGCAGCCTATCTGATCAATAGGACTCCCACTCCTATCCTCCAAAACAGAACTCCTTTTGAGGTTTTGCATCAGTTACCACCAGATTATGCCAATCTGAGGGTTTTTGGATGTCTGGCTTATGCAGCCACATCAGGATAGCCTAGAACCAAATTTGACCCTAGAGCTAAGCAGTGTGTCTTTCTGGGAATACCTGCAGGAATCAAAGGCTTCAAACTCCTTGATCTAAACACTAAACAGGTGTTCATCTCTCGAGATGTAGTGTTTTAAGAACACATCCTTCCCTACAAACATACTACTCCCGAAACACAAACCAGTACACCTCCTCCTGATTTCCAATTCCAATTTCCCTCATCTTCTGATCCTTTTGATTTTGAGACTTCACCACATCATCAGCCTGAGGGGGGGAGCTCAACCCCCATTCCTTTTTCACAGCCTAATGAACCTGTTGAAGTCTCATCACCAGAGATGCCTGATAATTCTTTCAGCTCTTCTCCCACATCTTTACCTTCACCTATTTCTTCTCCTGTTTCTTCTCTTTCTCAGTTACCTTTTTCACCTTCTCCTTCTCCCCGTGAAGATCCCCCTATTCCTCTCAGAAAAACCTCCAGAAATCTGAAACCTCCAGTGTGGCATGCTGATTATGATGTGCAGTATCCAATGCACAAGAGTATCAGTTATTCACATCTGCAACCTAGACTACAAAGATTTGTGAATTCTTTGATTACTCATGCTGAACTAAGAACTTATATTGAAGCCTCTGAGCATTCAGAATGGAATGAAGCTGTGAAAGCACAACTACATGCTCTACTTGAAAATGGAACCTGGAAAATCACAGACTTGCCAGAGGGTAAACATGCCATAGGCAACAAATGGGTGTTCAGATTGAAACTGAAGTCAGATGGCACAATTGACAAATACAAGGCCAGATTAGTTGCAAAGGGTTATACACAGGTTTATGGGATTGATTACTGTGACACCTTCTCACCTGTTGCAAAAATGGCTTCAGTTAAAATGTTATTATCAGTTGTTGCAGTAAAGGGATGACATTTGCATCAAATGGATGTCAGTAATGCATTCCTCAATGGAGATTTGTCTGAGGAAGTTTACATGGTGTTGCCACCAGGTTTGGATCCAACTGGAAAATACAAAGGAAAGGTATGTAAACTGAGAAAATCCTTGTATGGTTTGAAGCAGGCCAGTAGGCAGTGGTAGGCTAAATTGACAGAAAGCTTGATTAAACATGGTTTCAAACAATCACCTTGTGACTATTCAATCTTCACTGCAAAAGTTCTGAATGAGTTGGTTGTTTTGATAGTCTATGTTGATGATATTGTGCTGGGAAGCATAAGTTTAGATGCTATTAACACTGTCAAGGACATGCTGCATGCTGATTTTAAGATGAAGGACTTAGGAGAGTTAAATTATTTCCTTGGACTTGAGGTAACTCGAGGAAAGCAGGGTATAACAGTCTCTCAAAGAAAGTACTGCTTGGATGTTCTTTCTGAGTCGGGGTTTGAAGATTGTAAGCCTGCACCTACTCCTATTTTCATCAAATAAGTTCTGTCATCCACTGGAGGTGAACCTCTAGATGACATCAGTGAGTACAAGCACCTTGTGGGGCAGTTACAATACTTAACCACCACAAGGCCTGACATTACATTTGCTGTACAACAGCTTTGTCAATACCAGGACAGCCCTACTACAACACATCTCAGGGCTTTGCATCGAGTTTTAAGGTACTTGAAAGGTTCACCTGGTCAGGGATTGTTGTACTCCAAAAATGCAGACCTGCAGTTGAAGGGGTACAGTGATAGTGATTGGGCCACATGTCCAGATTCAAGGAGGTCGATTACAGGTTATTGTACCTTCCTTGAAGATGGATTAATTAGTTGGAAAAGCAAGAAGCAAACTACTATGTCTCGTTCATCCTTAGAAGCAGAATACAGGGCGTTGGCTAGCCTAAGTTGTGAGGTGCAGTGGTTGATCAGATTGCTAGCAGACTTTGGGATTTCACACAATGAAACAGTGCCAATTTATTGTGATAATCAATCTGCAATTCACATTGCAGAAAATCCTGTCTTTCACGAAAGGACAAAGCACATAGAAGTGGATTGCCATGTTATAAGGGAGAGAGTTCATTCTGGTATGATCACACTTCATTACATTCCCACAGAGTTACAATTGGCAGACATATTTACAAAAAGTTTATCAATAGATCGATTCCTTATGTTGTTCTCCAAGCTGGGAGTATATAATCTAGACTCGCCATCTTGTGGGAGGGTAACAAGGAACATGGATGATGATGATGATGTTCCTGTTGATCAAGAAATCAACAAGTTAGTTGCTGGTTGCTGGCCTTATTGCAGAAGAGAGCCACCTGATGAACCACGAAGAACAGGGTCAGCAAAGGAAAGGAAAACGACGACGCAGAGAAGCAACAGACTGTTAGGTTTTATTAGTTAGCTTTTTACTGTACAGTCTTACACGTGTAAAGCTTTGATTAGTCCATAGGTTACACTAAAATTAACGGCTAGGTAGATCCCCTTTTTGCTGCTTTTGCTCTGTAAAGTGTATATACTCTCTGCATAATGGAAAGCTCAGTATGAGCAATTTCCCCAATCCTTCCTCTTCCTAAAATCTTCTTAATGGCGAGGCGGACAGGCAAATCTGGATGGGAACAAGTTCGGGGGAGTACTCGGTAAGAGATGGTTGTTGTTGGGGAGGAAAGGGTATGGCGGAAACTCTGAGTGATGCAAGTACCTGCCAAAGTGAAACACTTTATGTGGAAACTTGTCCTCAATATCTTGCCAACTAGGGATCATATTAGCATGAAGAGCGAGAAGAGAAGTGACAAGTGCCCGTTTTGTAACTTGCGGGAAACCCAGTCCCATATTTTTGCGGAGTGTGGCCGGACATCTCGGTTATGGAGGAGCTCGGACTTAGTGCACTGCTACTACTATAGGTCGGACGAGTGCTGTTATGAGTGGTTCCGCTCTGTTATGGATGCGGTGGAAGTGGAGGTCCTAGAATCATGGAGCGTATTGCTTTGGTTTTTCTGGAAGGAAAGAAACGCCCAACTATTTAATGGGCAAACTTGAAGAGCGGGAGATTGTGATGCTGTGTTGGGTTTTGAATTGTTTGTTTAATTTGGGATTGGGAAATGTGTTTTGGATTTGAAGAAATTCGGTGATGTGGTAAGTTTTATAAGGCCAAAACATATTTTTTTTATTCAATTTTTTAGTCTTTTTTATACCAAATCCTTATTTCATTACGAAATAGGAATGTGATATAGAGTTTAGATCAAGATCCAGGAAGGATACAAAACATATCCAGAAGAAAAAATTGACATTAGTTAGATGGATGAAGATATTGACGAATGCACAGTTTAATGACTTTAATGGTATTTGTTGTCCTATTCTAATCTAAGTGGTATAGCTCTACCAAAACAAAAGGTTTAATAGAAACCCATTTATTTTACTCTTATTTCCCCCTCTGTTCCCTTCTCCAACATGCGTCGGTAGCTTCTCTCAAACAATCTTATAATCTTAGGAATCTTAGATGTAGTTGATAAATATCTTACATGTTTACAGTTATTGAAGCAAATGAGTATAGTTAATGTGATTTGACAATTGATTTTGGATGGTATAGATGGATAATAACGCTATGTTGTATGTGAGGGTAGTTATGGTCAATAACTAGGTGTTCCCAATAACTCAAGATGTAGGGATTGGCTCAATTATGGATCATATACCATATACTAATACACCTGTTCGAACGAAAGCCAACTCACAAGAGGTTGAAGTTTGCACAGGTCCAGACACAATATGCTTAACATGCAAAGATGGGGTCATAGGGATTTAAACAAGAGATATTTCGGTCATAGAAAGCTCTGATATCATGTTAAAAACCAGTTTATCCCAATAATTCAAGTTGATGAGAGATGTTCAATTCAAGATCATATACCGTTTATTAACAGAGATAAGTTGAAAGACAAACAAATGGGTATTCAACCTACTTCGACCCGGCTAAGGCAAGTTGAACCCGATGTTGATGAATTTTGGCATGGAGGAGTTTTCGTGACATTAAGTTAAACTGAGTTGAAGCCTCGAATTGAACCCGGTGACAAATTTGTTTCTAACCACAGAGAAGTTTTTGTATATTCTAAGTATTAGTTTAATTGAACCCGGTGTTGATGAATTTTGGCTTGGAGGAGTTTTTGTGACATTAAGTTAAACTGAGTTGAAGCCGATTTACAAATTTTTGAATAGAACCAGGTGACAAATTTGTTCTAACCACATATAGGAGTTTTTAATTAACTTAATTGAACCCGGTTAAAGAGAGTTTACACCGATTTTAAGAATTTTGGGTTGTCGGCGAGTTTTACACGCTTTTGTGCCATTAAGTTAAACCGAGTAGAAGCCGATTTATGCATTTTCAAATTTAACCCAGTGACATATTTGTTTCTAACCACGGAGGGTAGGTTCTAATTGATTAACTTAATTGAACCCGGTTAAAGAGAGTTTAAGCCGATTTTATGAATTTTGGGTTGTCGGCGAGGTTTACACGCTTTTGTGCCATTAAGTTAAATCGAGTTGAAGCCGGTTTACGAATTTTCGAATTGAATCTGGTGACAAATTTGTTTCTTACTACAGAGCATTTTTTTAGCCTCTAATTAATTAACTTAATTGAACCCAGTTAAAGCGAGTTTACATCGGTTTTACGAATTTTGGGATGCCAACGAGTTTACACACTTTTGTGCCATTAAGTTAAACCGAGTAGAAGTTGATTTACGAAATTTCGAATTGAACCCGGTAACGAATTTGTTTCTAACCACAAAGAAGTTTTTGTAGGCTCTAATTAGTTAACTGAATTGAACCTGGTTAAAGAGAGTTTCACTCCAATTTTAAGAATTTTGGGTTGCCCTTAAGGTTTTAATCAATTAATTTTATGCTATTAAGGTTTTAATCAATTAACTTATAACAATTGAATCCTAATTGAACTTAAATCAATGGTATTCGACCTAATTCGACATGGTTAAAGCGAGTTGAACTCAGTTCTTACAAATTTTGGATCGACAACAAGTTCTGCACTCTTCAATCAATGGTTTGAACCGAGTAAGCGAGTTTTACAAGCTTAAATCAATAGACTGAGTTGAACTTGGTATTAACGAATTTTGGGTCGAGCAAGTTTTTTTGTCTTTTCTTCCCTTATCGATCACGGTTACGGTCGTTTTACTGCCATTTTTTTTGTCTCCACCTTGCAAATGATTTTTTATCAGTTTTTTTTTGTTGTGTTGGGTATGCAAATGATTTTGGAGACTTTAGGGAGTTAGATCTTTCTGTCACAACCTTTAAATATTAAAAAAAAAACAAGTTTTACGTTACTATTTGGTAGAGTCACATTACCTAGGATTATTTTATTGTTTACTTTTCTTTAATTAATCAAATGTTTTAATTGTTTCCTGATCGTTGAACTCAAATTCATGTGTATTCAACCTAATTAGACCCAGTTTTGTTGTTGTCAAATTTTGGGTCGGGAACAAATTTTACCCATCTTTTAAACATTTCTTCGTATGACAATTGAACCCAAACTAACGTGTGTTCAAGATAATTCGAGCCGGTGCCGATGTATACGAATTTTGGATCAAGAATAAGTTTTACCCGCTTTTATAAATAACGAACAAGGTCTGGTGTGCATTTTGTTAAGAACACACCTCGCTTTTATAAATCCAATGTTCTCGCATTTTGGGGGAGAGAACGCATTTTACCCTCTTTTGTGATCGACAAATTGGGTCGCGTGTGGATTATGTTAGAAACTCGACCCGCTTTATCAAATCGATCAGAGAAATTCATGTGTGTTCACAAATTTTGGGTCGCTTTGGGATTGAACCCAAATTGAACCCACCTCTTATGACAATTGAACCCAAAATCCCGCTTTAGCGAGTTGAATCTAGTGTTGACGCATTTGAGTCGAGGACGGTTTTACCCTTGACACTTTTGGGGGCATGAATGAATTTTGGGTCTCTTTCCACCAGTCATCTCTCTCTCTCTCTCTCTCTCTCTCGTTCCTCTCTCTCCCATCTACCCATCTCCTCCTTTCTCTGCAAGACTGTTGAACCAAAAGGAAGAACAAACGAGAGGAAAAACTCCAACAACAAAATACAGGAGGGGGTGACTTTTATTTCTTGGTCTACAATAATCGAACTATGACTCAACATTCTATTCTTAAATTTTTTTCTTCATTCTGCCTTAATTTTGATTACCGGGTACTAAGGAACAGATTATTTCAGTATTTAGTTTCAATTTATAATTCACTTAAAAAAGGTTCACTTTACAATAACAAATCAATAGCCCCGCTGCGAAGCGCGGGCTTCCATCCTAGTATAATATAATAACTATTAGCTCGAACGACTCATATTCTAATACAAGCAAGGTATGAAGGGTTACTGCAAGAGTGGTTTGGAAGATGAACTTTGTGAATTGTCCATGAACCATTAGAAAGCTCTTGTTTATGCGGTCGACATAAAGATCAATCATATCATCGATCATGCCAAATTCACCAACAAGTTCTTTAAAATATTATCGTTTCCAGGATCTTAATCTACACTCATCTTTGAACAAAACCTCCTAGTTGTTTCATAATGAGACACACTTCTCAATATAGTTAAAATGATATATGTATTTGTATGAGTTATAACCAAAAGCAATCGACAAACTAAAATAAATAAATACAACACATTTATTCGTGTAGCTAACACAATATGGACTCCATCCATACATACTTGAGGAAGAAAGTTTGAAACAAGTTTATATACAATCTTTCCTTTAAATCGTAACTAAGGAATAAATGTGTTGAGTGGTCGTTCCTTCTTGCGGTGTTAGAGGCTATGGGTTTCTCTGCTGCTGGCTCCGGTGGATTCGTTCTTGCATCACTACAATCTATTTCTCTGTGCTTATGAATGGTGTGGAGAATGGATATTTTCGGCCCCAACGAGGTATCCGCCAGGGCGACCCCCTCTCTCCTTTACACTTTACCTTATATTTTGAAGCTTTCTCTGCTTCCATTCTGGCTGGTATTAATCTTTCTTTGTTGCATGATTTGAGGGTGCATCGACTATCCCCCATTACTTCTCATCTATTCTTTGTTCATTCGTGAATCCATTCCTGAATGTGCTAATCTCTTACATATGTTGAGTGACTTTGAAGGTGTTAGTGGGCAGCGCGTTAATTTGCAAAAATCTGCAGTCTCTGAGTCACAATGTGTTCGATCAAGAATTGCAGGACATCACCTCCTCCTTAGGAATATCCACGATGGTGCCCGGTGACAAATATCTTGGGCTGCCTTCCCAAGTTCAGCGTTTTAATACGCAAAATTTTCATTTTTGTAGAAGAGACTTTGGCCAGTCGCATAAGGAGTTGGAAGTCCAAAGGATTGTCCTCTGCTGGGAAGGAGGTTGTCATCAAGCGTTGGGCTTTGCTGGCCCTGTATATGCAATGTCTTCCTTTTGGCTTCCCTCTTGGAAATGTCGTCGTTGCAATAGTCTTCTTGCGTACTATTGGTGGGCTGGTCAGGATAAGGAGAATGAGATTCAATAGCTCTCCTGGTCGGCGGCATCTCAGAGTAAGTTTCATGGTGGGCTCGGTTTTCAAGATTTTGACCGTTTCAATGTTGCTTTACTTGCTAAACAGGCTCGGAGAGTTCTTCGGAGTCCTACCAGTTGCTTGGCAGGGATCTATAAGGCTCGTTATCATCCCCACCATCATTTCTTGGAGGCAAACGCGGGCTCCCATCCGTCTTGGGCATGGCAAGGTATTCTCGAAGGGCGCTTCCTCCATTCGGGTTCTTGAGGACAAGTGGTTACAAACTAATCCTCCCTCATCCCCTCTACGTCTTTTTGGGGTCTCTGTTGCTAACTTGCGGGTAGCGGATTTGATTGAGTCTGACCGCCGTTGCTGGAATCGGACCTCCTGCATCACCGTAATTTCATTAATAGAAATATATGTGGGTTGGTTTTATCCATTCAACGAGTCACATACTCACATATTGAATTATGGTAAAATCAAAAGGGTTATAGGTATAATATGCCCGTCTACTATAACGCTTTATCAAACATGCTCCTTTACTATTTTTTACATCAAACATGCCCCTGTACTTTGTAAAAATGATCAAACATGCCCTTTTGTTAAAATTTTCATCCAAAAACCGTTAACCAAGGCCGAACTTTAGTTTGGGAGACACAAATGACTAAAATATCCCTAATAAAGTCACTTTAGAATTTTTTTGGTTCTTTTGTACAATCAAATCATTCAAATAATTTCACTTTGAAAAGACCCAAGGAAATAAAACAGGGGACAAAAATGACATTTTTCCTCCCATTTGTCGATGTCGGGTTGTCTAAATCTCGGTTCAACCATGATTGACGATTTTTTTCAATGGAAATTTTAACAGAAGGGCATGTTTGATAATTTTTTCAAAGTACATGGACATATTTGATGTAAAAAATAGTAGAGGGGCATATTATACCTATAACCCAACTCAAATCCACCCATTAATTTTAAGATTCTATGGGTTTTTTGAGTCACGATTTTGGTTGGAATGGATGGAAATCCAGTCCATCATACGAGAATAAATTTTTGGTTTCAATAATCTAATATAAAAAATAAAGATCAGACTGATATACACCTGAAGTATACGATACTCCAAAATCCGAATTTCATTAATGAGATATCTCTATATAGAACATGAATTACTCTTGGAGTATACGATACTCCAGTTACTATGTCGTACAATCCAACATAACCAATTGAGCATGGCCCAAATACCAAATTTCATCATGCCGCCTCCCAATAAAGAAATTAAAAACATCGGCGCACTATCACCAATCTATTCACCAACAGCAACCCAATTACTTAGGGGTGGGAATTTGGTTGTAGTTTTGCGGTTAAACTGATAATCACACTGAAACCAAGCGTTAGTGGTTGACCTCAAACCGAAAAAATAGTTTTGATGTCGCGGTTAGCAATATTGCATATTTTGCGGTTTAACCACAATTTCAATTGAATAACAAGTTACCGCAATTTAACAAATTATTAACCCGATTAACTGCAGTTAACCGTGATTCGGTGGCCCCTGATCCGTCCTCTTGCACCGGCGGTGTAGTCCACAACCCAAAATTTTCGCAACTCAGCAGAACAATTACTGATACGGTTAACAGTTAACCGTACTTTGCGGTTAACCGCAAATTTCGCTGCGGATAACGATAACCACACCAATTTCCAGTCTACAATAAATGGACCCAAACAAAAGCCTATGTCAACCAAGCTTATTATTCCTTTCGCCGACCGTAATCCACCAGTAAGCAGGTTGAAGAAAGAAACCATGGTTGTCATGTCAGTGGTATGTCGGCGGGTTGAACTTGGTTCAATCAGTGTCGGCCAAGAAACCGAGGTGAACACCACCATAGTGACCGACATGTTCTACATACTAATTCTAAGCAAAATGACTTCGTTTTAATGAATTCAATTAATAAAAATTTAATTTATTATTTGTATCATGAACTTAAAAGTCAAAAGTTGATGTTATTTGTTGGATTATAGGTAAATTGTACTCAAATATATTTTATATATGATTAAACTCGTTGGATGTTAATGTTTTTCACATTTTTACATATTTTGTTAAACCGACATGAATCGACACAAACCGGTTATACCATCGGACGTCGTACCATTCCATTTTTCAAACAACACAACGATATAAACCGGATTCACAACTTGAAAGAAATACACAAGTCAGAATCGAGAGTTAAAGCTGACCTTTTCATTCCTCTCCCACCTTAACTTTCTCCCTAGACCCTAGCACAATAAGAACTCCTTCACAGTTTTGCATACTCATAACTAAGTTCCCAGCGGGCAGCGGCCCAAGCGGCCAAGCCATCAAGAAACCAACATTAAAACATGGCACGATCTGGGAAAAAATCCCACTGTACACATGTTCTTAAAAAAAATTCCCAAAATACATAAGTTATAATTTTTTTTTCTCCAAAACTACACATGTTTGGCATTCACCGTTTTTGACAAACGCAGTGAAGACTATCACCGCGTTTGACAAAGACGGTGAATACTTAACCGTTAAAAAAAAACGGTGACGTATTCACCGTCGTCCTCTAAAACGGTGAATAACGAGCGAGCCAATCACCGTTTTAGACGCAGACGGTGAAGTCATCACCGTTTTAATCAAAAGCGGTGAAAACTAAACCGTTTCAGTAGGCCACGATCAAGCGACGAGGATCGCTGACGTGGACAAAGGCGGTGTATTCACCGCGTTAGACAAACACGGTGAATACCCCGTGTTTGTTTGCGTCAGCGATCCGCCTCGCTTTTCCTTACCCCGTGCCCGTTGGATGTGGTTGGTCTCAACTTTTCGAATCACCCATGCACCCTTTCTCTTCATATTTGCAGCCCGTAGTTGCCACGTACAGCCCTCTGCATCATTCTTGCATATGACATGTAATTATTTACTGTCAGAATATTTTACCTTCCACTCGAAATTGCGCCTCAAGGCCTCTTCGGTAAAGTCATCCTGCACAGCGTCTTTCGATGAGAATGCCATACCCACCTCCAAATTGGCTGTCGGATTATACACTGGCGTAGGGACAAAGTCGGGGGTATCATTCTGACTATGTAAAAATTGAGTTGGAACCTGTGTGTAGTATGGCGTCGGTGCCTCACGAAATACCGCCTCGTCGTCGTTATCATCAGTATCTTCCTCCTCGCTCACTAATCTCAAATCTTCCTCAGTATCATCGCCGCTCGAGTCGAATGGATAGCTCGGCCCAGAAGGATCAACATGACCACCATCATCAACATCGTCTTCTCGCTCATGTGAAGCACGCCCTGCTCGAATAGTATTTTCGATTTCAGCCCATTCAGGCCCCCAAACAGGCCATTGAACGTCATCGGCAGGTTGATTCTGTTGCGAGTATTCTTCCGATGGCACCCATCCTGCATACTACCTCCACCGTAGTTGATTGAACTACCACCCTCTCCGTAACCTTCTGTATAACCATCGCCTTCGTAGTTGCTCGAACTACCACTCCATCCGTACCCTCCTGCAAAACCATCATCATAAGAATACTGGTGAGAATGAGTTTCACCGACCGCCTCAGTCTCAACATACACCTCTGCTTGCCGCATCCCGTTATCGCTTAGGAACTATAACATCATCGTAACCGCGTCATCATCGTTTATGACAACTTCTTGGTACACAAGCCCGCCAGTACTCATACATGGATACCACTAAGTAATTTCACCAAGTCTCGTCTGTCCGCTCGTACAAACCCTGTATGCACAAATATCACAGAGTTCTTGAAAATTGAATCGCGACTCAATTTTCAGCTTAGTGGATACACCGTCCTCATAATCATTCCCTATATCAGAGTTTGTAACCCTTCCATTCCACCGAATAATAAGCTGAAACTTCTTGAATTTACCCATATCTACAATTTATAATAAGTAACTATTAGCATAATTCTAGTAATTCATAACATCGGCCATATTTGCTACGATAAGTAATTCATAACATAACAATATAACTACTAAAAACAACCATTAGGAATTAATACGAAAATTAAATCATACCGAAAATTCATGTTCTGTGTATGTTGCTCAGTTTTGGCTGCTGAAATTTGAAGAGGGGGGAGGGATTACGTTTTTAGAACTGCAGGTGGGAGTAGTATTTAAAGGAAAATCGGCCAGTATTCACCGCCTTTGTCTCAAACGGTGAACAACATCACCGCTTTTGTCTCAAACGGTGAACATTAGGTAGTTGTGACCTAATTTTTCACCTACCAGGTTCGGGAAACGTGGGAAATAGTCACTGCCTTAGCCTAAGGCGGTGAATATGTTCCCCGCTTTGCCCTAAGACGGTGACGTTTTCACCGCTTTTAACTTAAACGGTGATGTCTTCACCGTTTTTGTTAAACGCGATGAACACTTCACCGCTTTGTACAAAGACGGCGAACACGTCACCGTTTTATTTTAAAACGGTGATATGTTCACCGTGTTTGACAAAAGCGGTGATTATATTCACTGTGTTTGTCAAAAACAGTGAATGGCAAACATGTGTAGTTTTGAATTTTTTTTATAACTTATGTATTTTGAGAATTTTTTTATAAAAATTAGTGTACTTTGAGATTTTTTCCCACGATCCGTGCAATTTCCTAGTTGTTCTTATTTTTTAGCTTCGTACCAACGAAGAAATAGAGACGATTCAAAAGAGTAAGATTACTAATCTCTTCTGATCCGCCAAAGAATAAAGCTAAAATACTGGATGAAAGATACATTGTTAAAAATAAAGTTAAAAACTAGATGAAAGATTAATTTCCCAACGTGGATATATAACAATATTGTGAAAAGGAGGGATATTTTTGCTTGTGAGGGAACTTTTGAAGGAAATTTTTTGGATGGTGGGAAATTTTGGAGAGAAATAATAGGAGATATTGAAAGATTGTCAAGACTCAAATTGGTGATCATGAATGTCAAAGTGAATCGACAAGGTTTAGAGAAAATTATCATCATCAAATTTAGTTTAATTTCAATGTTTGTTTAAACTTTAGTTTGAGTTAATGTTTTATCGTTATATAGTCTCCAAATGCTAGCTTGCACATGTTGTCTTGTAGTGCAAAGCTTTTGCCTATGTAAAGTCAAGTATGAATGAGAAACGCACAAGTATTCAAGGGTTCTGCAATTTCATTTTCCACAACTCAACTTTGTTGTTAAGAAATGAAATTCTCCTTCCAAAATTGGTGGGGGGATTTTTGCCGCTAAGAGCATCTCCGTTGGTACAATTGCATTTGTAATTGTATTTGTAGTTTTTTTTTTATACAACACCATTTTTTAAGCCAACTCACTTTATTTTCATTGTACCTACATTGGTGCAATAGATTGCAATTGCATATGGGGCCTAATTTTTTTAATGAAAAAACAGTTGTTTATCTATGACAAAAATTAAATCTATGGCAAAAAAAGCCAAACGTTGGCATTGAAATCATAACGAAAAAAAAAATGATAAAACTTTCCACTGTGGCTTGTAATGAGGACTTGCAACAAATGAAAGCTTCCATTTTTGGATCGCAACTCATATTGGTGCAATGGGAAAATACAATTGCAAAGTTCTGCCACGGCAAAGTGCAATTGTAATCTTTGAGACCGATAGAGATGCTCTAAGAT